GATGCAAAAGTGACTGTAAAGACTATAAATGCCGTTTAAAAAACAACAACTTTCTATTCATCAGAGAATCCTGGGAAAAATTATCACAGTTTCCACAAAAGGGAAACTTTTATTGAGCAACACAATTATTTTCAACATTCATAATAATAGGAAATATTAGTCAAATAAACATAACAAATTGTGTGACCCTGAAGACAGGATTAATGATGCTGAAAATTCAGCTTTCATATCAAAAGAATAAATTACATATTAAAATATATTAACATGGACCGTTATTTTAAGATATAATATATTACAATTACTTTTTTACTGCGTTTTTTGATCAAATAAATGCAGCCTTGGTGAGCACAGGTGACTTCTTTATTGATCCCCTCAAATTTTGGGCCTACTTTTCTAAGCACTTGGAATTAAAATTTATGTTGTATACGGTGAAATGGGTGAGGGGAAAAAAATCCCACAATTTCACTATGAATGAGAACCATATTTAGAATTTGGATATCTGAGAGAATTACTAATACAAAAAAACAACAACAACAACAACACATAACACCATCTAGCAACCATCTACAACATATTAGCATCATGGCAGTGGGTTCTGTTTGAACAAACACTCATCTTTTGTAAATGTAGAAATCTGTTTTTCTAGGTTGTTTTGGTCTTATTGCACAGTAACCGTACTTTTGAAGTAAGGGCATAGCAAGTCAATAACTTCAGTAATTTTCAAACTCTCCTTTCCAAACAACGTGTTCAAACCCACATCCACCATCTCCTCACACAGCATCTGCCAAAAAACATTCACCACGGGCATCCTCACGGTGCCTTAAACCTACAAAAATACTGAAACGAATCGAAGGCAGAATATAACGGCGCGCTATAAAACGGTTACGGCTCACTCACTCGACTGGGGGTGACAGTGGTGCTTGTGAGAGTTGCTGGCAGGGGGCAGGTGCTAAAAATCTCCCGTGAAGCCAGTCGACAATAGGGGCTGCCAAAAGTCCTGCAAGCAGGGTGGTAAATACACTTAACTTCAACCCCTCGCCGAGCCTGTGGAAGAGCAAAGTTGTTTCTTTGAAGTTCCTTTCCCTTCGTTCTCACTGTTTTTTCCCCATTTTTTTCTTCAGTCTGCATTTTACTGCCTGTTTGTCCGTCTGGGAGCATAGCTGACATCAAACGCATGGTCAGGGTTCTGCGCTGTAAATCAAGCCGCCTTTCTCTTACAGGCCGCACCCCTCTTCCCAAACTAGACGCTTGTAAAAGCTCATCGAAGAAGCCCTGCACCCCTTAGACAATAAAACCGATGTCATCACTCATGAGGAAAGGCTAGCAGGTCTTTAAGCATGAAGATCATCTGGAGTGTTTGGGTTCAATCGCCTGAGATCATGAAAAAAGAAAGAGCGCCCTGCTGTCACCCAAACTTGAGTAATGGCAGAGCTGTGGCCATGCAGTAAAATGCTACATTACTTTTTTTTTTTTAGAGCTAATGAAAAAGCAACTTCCATTAACATGGACACGGTTTGCAGTTTGCGGTGACATGCAGACCACCAAACTAAAACGATGCACTAAACCAGTAAAGCTCAGAACACACACATCTGAATTATTAAACAAGGAAATGTCTGTTAAATGCTGTTACAAGACTAAATGTGGTGCTTAAATGGCGTAGCGTTAACAGACGTGCCAGCACCAGTGCTGGATTATTTGCAATTTTCAGTCCGTTACTGATTCCAAATTACATGACAAACATTGTAGTTAGTAACGTAAACAATTACATCGGACTACTTTTTGATTACTTTTAGATTCTCCCCAACTTGTTTATCACATGATTTAAATAGGATAATCTTGTATCATACTGACATGCAAAAGACTTTTTGAATGCAAGCAGTAGGATATTTTAGAAAAAAAATTTATATATGATATATAGTTGTCGTCAAACATTTATATGACTTATGATAGTTAAAATAATCACTCAAACACTTTTGTTTTTACAGATTATTGACTTAATTGTCAATATGTTCATAATGACTCTTCAAAAGTCAGTTTTTACAGTAAAAAGCTGCAATAAACACTAAAAATGAAAGACCTTCTTCGCGAGCTTCACGAGTTTAGCAGAGGCAAAGCAGGTGGTCACTAGCAGCACCACACAGCTGGTCTGTGGCTTTACGACCATCCCCTCTGCTGTGGTGCCATAAATCTAGCATGGCTCTGAAACTGGCAACTGCTCTGCTTTAGGACTATTGTCTCATTCCCTTCAAGCTCGTGAAGCTCTTCGCTTACGGAGGACGTCATATAAACAGATTTTAGGATTGGGTTACATCCATCCCCCACTAGTCTTTACTCTGAGTGAGAACATGCACTTTGGATTTGGCCAGTGACTGCGGCCACTTGACTTCCTTTAACCTGTACTTAAATTTATCTTGTGTTATGTACACTGTTTTTTTTTAGTATTATTTATATAATATCACAATATTTATTCATTTTTGAATTAGCTTTTATTTTTACTTTTTTTTTTTACATTTCTGTTTAGCTATAATTGTATTTATTTTTTTGTTTAAAAAGAAAATCAGTTATCTGCCAAGGGAACATTTTAAATTTTTAAGTTTTTAGGCTTAAAGTCTTTATTTATTTCATTTTAGCTGTATTTCAACAATTTTTTTATTGTTTCAGTTAACAACAACAACACTGGTTTAGTATAGTTTGAAAAATAGTTTGAAGAGTTATGAGATATACACAAATAACCAACCCAGTACCAGAAAATAACAGCAAAACATTAAGCATATTTTTCCATCTACCTGTGCATTTAATCAGTCTATCCACTTATTTGAGCTAGTTATGGTTTAAAAAGCTAGAAAAAACCCAAGCATGGCAATAACCATAACTACCATAACAACTACAATATCATAACTACTATTATAACTAAATAGCATTTTCTGTATAATATAAGTGAAGAAACTACCTTATATTTATAATGGTTTACTATTCAACCATAGTAAGCCCCATGGTAAATATTGATAGAGAAACCAGTTATTTTTAGGACAAGATGCTCAACAGGAGTTAAGTAACAGTTTATAGAATCAACAGGAGATGCTGCTGACAGCAACAATGAGGTACATTTTCCATCAAACTGTCCATTTAGCATTTATTCTGTCCATTCTGTTTCTTAAAATAAAAAAAGTGAAAAAAGTGAAAGTGACCCGACAGTATGGTACTCCATACTCGGAATTAGTGCTCTGCAATTTTCCCATCCAAAGTGCACACAGCAGTGAAAACACACCCGGAGCAGTGGGCAGCCATTTTTCGCTGCGGCGCCCGGGGAGCAGTTGGGGGTTCGGTGCCTTACTCAAGGGCACCTCAGTCGTGGTATTGAAGGTGGGAGAGAGCGCTGTTCATTCACTCCCCCCACCTACAATCCCTGTCGCTACGAGACTCGAACCTGCAACCTTGGGTTACGAGTCCGACTCTCGTAACCATTAGGCCACGACTTCCCCTGGGCTGTATTATTATATACTATTATTTACTAATGCTTGTTAAAGTTCAGGCCTAGAAAAGCGTCTAGAAAAAAGAAAAGGCAATTACAATTTCCTCTTGCAAACCACTATTTTACTGCCCTTCTAAAGGCAGAAATAGACTGTTAGTGGTAATGTTGATCAGAGCAGGGCCATCAGGGCCTTACAGACCTGGTGACCCAAAGAAAGCAGCACCTGGAATTCGTCAGTTGTCATAAACACTGAAGTTTCTTTCCTTCCCTTTTTTAAGGAGCGAGTTTAAAGGAAAACTCTTAGCTATTCACGGTGTCCTTTCCCATTCTCCTCGGGTGTCATAAAACCATAAGTCTAGTCTCAGCACTTGCCTTCGAGCCAATAAAACAGCCCCCGGTTTATGAGCTGCTCTCTTGCTGAAGGTAAATGAACCTTGCCTCTGGTGCCACTAGCGAAGCTTAAAACATTCTAGACCTATACAAACTACTATAACTATTACTATCTTCAAATGAAATCAAGACTCAATTCACTGACTAAGCAATTGCCAGTTGAGCAGCACAATTTTGCAAGTTGACTTGTGATAGGCTCACCTCATGGCAGCGATTCAAACACACAATCAACAATACTATGAAATTAAGTTGGTACAATATCAGTGCTCTTGTTTTGAACAAAGCCCAAACAAACCTAAAAAAGGAGCCTTTGACCAGCTACCAGACTTCCTGTCCTGAAAAGCTGAGAGGTCTAGCAATGGGCGGCACTGATTTCCTGCACCCAACCCAGACAAATGGGGCCTCAGCTCCTGGACACCCACCAAGTTTATTAGATCCCCTCTCGCACCAGACCGTCATTATCACAGCCCTCTAAGAGCCCGTCTCAACCTCTCTGTTTGATGTTTACAGAGAACCCCACATCCCAGAAAAGGTCTCCACTAATAGTCAACCACATCATTCAAACACAAAAGCTCACACCAAAAACTATTGAAAGTCATTGTACTTTCCCATAAGACTGGCGGCGTAACAGATTTTTTGCAAATTTATACATTGAATATGCATTGAACTAGAGATGCACAATATTAAAATTCAGACCGATACCAATTGACTGATAATTATTTTCATAAATGGTCTATATGAAAATTCCATATTTAAAAAAACAAAACATTAAAAACCAAAAGTTATCGTTTAAATGCTACAAGTTATCACAATATTATGATATAATAATTATAAAATAATATTATATGTATATAGATGTATATGTATATCAACCGATGCAGATTCAAAACCAAATGATAACCAGTATGGTACCAATATTTTATGGATTCCTATAGTACCTTAAACAATCATTACAAAGACTTCAGTTTGGTTATTTTGCTATTAGTAAACTGTATTTCCATAAAGGTTATGATAAAGTTCACCAAATGCTTACAGATATTACAATACCCGGTTTGAAGGACAACTAGCCAGCTGGGGAAAATCAAGGACTAATTTTCATATTGTTATGTTCAAGTATAATGATTAGAAATTCACTTACATCTGATCTTGTGAACGTGTTGTCGTCCATGTCCGAGTCATTCGGATCTAACACATCCTGGAAGGGCGGTAACGCTAGCGGTTTTCTCTTCTCTGAAAGTTCAGTGTTTTGTAACCTACTAGGCCGGATTTGCGGCTTGTCTTTCAAAACCTTTTTATCTGAATGGTGGTGCTGTAGCAAGGTAGGACACGCTTGCTGCTTTTGAGAGCTCTCTGAAAAACTGCTTTTCCAGCTAATGTGGTTTAATAGATGCATGAATAAAAAGCTGCAGCGTCTGAGGGTTTCTTGCACAAAATATCGCACTAATCAATTTGTTTCTTTTAAAAATTATTTTCTTTAAAATGCCATTACAGGCTGATTAACAGGAATGCGTTGGAACACTGTAAACATGGTACTGTATGTCTAGATACAAATCTTTTCGCACATGCAGAGCGCCGTTGTAACGGGACACCTGGTGAGTTAGTTTACGTCATCGGAATGCTAGCATGTGCTTTCTCAGCAGCCAAGAAATGCTCGACTTAAGCCAAGTTTCACATCTCTAAAATCCTTGGAGTTAAATAGCCCCCAACATCTTTCAACTTGCCAAATATGCAGGATTAGGCAAGGACTCCTTGGAGGAACTGGGAATTTTTCAAATACCGAACAAAGTCACGCAAAGTTTTCTCAAAGTTCAGACTCTTAAACTCGGAGATCCACACTCACCTTTGACCCTGGAAAAGACTTGCTCTTTTTCACATCAGAGAAGGTCAATGTTAATGAGCTGCTGGGTAATGTGGGCAGCTTTAGATGCTGCCCGAACAGAGAAGTAGAGCCCTCCTGCATTACCATTACCTATGAGACAAAAGACAAATGAAAACAGTGATGGCCAATGAAATGCGTAACTGCAGGTTCATTTATTTCATGTTATTTACTGAAAATTTTCATCTCTGTTTCATTCAAAACATTCAATGTCATGATCAGTCATTATATACATTATCGTCCAAAATTTTGGGGTCAGAGTAAGATTTGTTTATTTATTTTTGAAAGAAATGACTTTTAATCAGCCAGGACACATTAAACTGATCAGAAGTGACAGTAAAGACAATGATAATGTTACAAAAAGATTTCTATTTCAAATAAAGGCTGTGCTTTTCAACATGAAAATTAAGCTTTGCCATCACAGGAATAAATTACATTTTAAAATATATTAAAACGGAAAACAGTTATTTTACTGTATTGTAGTTTTGATCAAATAAATGCAGCATTGGTGAGCATAAAACTGCACAGCTTATTAATGTTATTGTATGCTAGAAACTATTAAGTTTATGTTTTTACTGACATGAGTTGCCATGCTACAAAGCGCAACACACAAAACAAGGAAAAGGAATGTTGTTTCAGATGCATTTTGAAGATTACGACAATAGCATTTTTTGGTTATTTAAAGTAACATGTGCAAGTAAATCGTTCACTATACTGTATGAAAATAGGGTAAACTTCAAAATAATCAGAGAAAATACTGTTGAAGTTCTGTTAAACACAATGAAACATTGAAAATGGTGTTTGTCCTTACTTTAGAGTCCTCTGAAGATCTTTTGTGAGGATCCCGTTGCTGTAAATGACAAAGTACAGATATTACAGTCTAAAAATATAGACTATGAATCAAACCACCACAGACACACACACTCTCTCTCTCACACACAAACACACTCTAACACCTATTTGGCAAAAAACACTCTGCTCACTCCTGGCCTGATGTAAAGACAAATTGCCTTTCATCAGCCAAAACAATCAGGTAAATTGGAAAGGACCTTGCTCAGTCACCACCTCGCTAAATTGATATTGCTCTAGTGAACGGTTCTCTCTTAATTAAAACAACTTCCCGTACAACTGCCCGTTTGCCAATAAACTGTTTCGATTCCTGCCATGACTCATCTGTAAGCCAGACAAGCACCAAAGGAGATGGTGTCATAGCCCCAGCCGTAAAACATTCGAATTACTGGAATGAGGCAAGAGAGGGCAAGCTAAAACTACAGAGAAGACCCTCACAAGAATAATAATTTCTTTAAATATGTCTTAAGGGTAATAGTGTCCCAGTTCATGACTGCTGGTGGAACTTCAAAACACATCCAAGATCAACGAAACTAATAAATACAAGCCAGTTGATTCATAAAAAGCATGTGGATCCCTTGGCACTGGCCCAAAGACAACTCGGGTCTCCTCCAGTGATAGATGGTCGAGTTAAGACTAGCACAATCAAATCCTGTAAAGTTACTTATTGTCTTGGTTGATGGGAACAGTAATTCCATTAGGACAGATTGCCTGACAATGGCTTTCATCTCTGGAGGACTGTTTGCTAGGACAAGCAGCAGGGAACATCCTTGCATTTTTCACCTGTGAAAGGAGGGGACGTATTTTGACTAGTCATTTCCCCTGCATGAACACCCAACTAATGAGGCTAATTGTGGAACGGTTACTAAATACAAATATTTTCTCAACCGTCTGCAACAAAGATGTACATTAGCTCTGAAACTGAAGTCACGTGACTCCAATCATTCAAAAAAAGTGATCCGCCCATCTCGTTCCCAAGATCCAGCCGGTTCGTACCCCTCCAGCCTTGAGCAGCTTCCTGCGGAACTCTTCAGTTGGGTTGTTGAATGTGAGCTTTTCACAGCGGAGATGATTGACAGGTGGGTGACCCTCCAAGTGCAGGAACAAATCGTAGTCAAAGCGCACTTTTTTTGGTTCTTCCTGGTGAAAAGTGACAAGAATATTACATTTACCCAATGTACATAGCTGTTTGGATTGGTTTAATTTTAGGTTACAGATTAAATACGCTTATTTATAGAGATCATAATTCACAATTACAGGTTTCCACAAAAGAGAGGTAAAACCAAAGTACCTTATTTTTAAAGTAAACTTCAATAGGCAAGATAAACCCAGCGTATCCAGACTCTTCAACTTTATATGGTGGATCCTTGCAGACTGCAAGAAAGAGAGAGAAAGAAAGAGACTGCTGGTTTAATTTTAGCATGGAAATCAATACTTAAATCAATAAGGCACAAATAGGTGTGCTATATTGTAATTATATATATATATATATACTCTTCCATTTTTAGCAAATTGAGAAAACTTTGTCTAAAACAATTTTTGTGATGTTTTGTATTTTTTGTGCTCTGTATGGAACATCAGTGCCTGTTTAAGTGATGAAATCCATTACTTGTGTTTGTTTTCAGACATGATAACAGACGTTTTATACTTGTGCTACAACATTTTGGCCTGTGCTACAAAACTTTCAACCTCTGTAGCACCAGTGCTATGTGAAAAAAAGTTAACGTACAGCCCTGCCTAAAGCATTAACTATATAACTTAATCTTACTTGTGAAGACATTTTATTGAAACCTGTCTACAAGAACATCTGAATGCTGTATTATTGTGACATCAGAACATGACTATCCACATTTACTCAGCAACACTGTGTCAACAACTTGGTCTGCCCATTCGGGGCTGATTAATACATAGACATACGTATAATTTCTGACTTTAAAGGGGTCTTATTATGCTGTTTTACAAAGTCTTGATTTTGTTTTGGGGGTGTACTAGAACAGGCTCTCGTACTAGGTTGTTCGAAAAACACATTATTTTTCACATATTTTACATTATTACAACACCTCTCTCCTCAGTCTGGCATGAATGGCTCCAATAGTTCCTGAATCAAATGAAGGCAATACGAAATGTGCTGTGATTGGTTAGCTGGGCCAGTGCATGTTGTGATTGGTTAGCTGGGCCAGTGTGTGCTGTGATTGGCAGCACTCGGCGGCTGGTCGGGAAATGCCATGCCCCTTACCATAGCCGCCTGCGAGCTTCAGTGTAAATATTGCGTCAAAATCAAATCAATTTGAGCGATTTAAACCCGGATGATTGTAACCACTCTAAGTTTGTCTGCCTTGGGAAAGCTAGCGTGTCTCCGACATAGTGATAACACTCGTTGCCTTCTCTAGTGCAGCTCAACCAGGTCTCGTCCCATTCGTCGATTTTTGTGATATCACAAATCCCAGAAAATATGCGTTGTAGTCCAAACGAGTCGTTCGTTGTAGTTTTTGAAAAGTGATTTCTGTTAAATAAAATATCTGCTTTTGAAGTGGACTTTGAGCTTTGTTAACTTTGCAGATCTTTTTTATGCTCAAACCGCAACATTACAGACTAACTAAAGTTGAAAAAGTGAAAAAGCATTTAAGAAAAAGCTGTTAGATGTGGGAATACGTTCACCAAATTGTTGTACTGTTCTTGCCTATGTAGTAAAAGAACTTGCATCAAAGTCTTACATGGACGGTAGCAATTATCACCCATTTAATTCTAAGAGTCAGAGAGTGGGTGGAAAAAGATCAAGTGACAACACTGATTACGACTTACTTGCAAAGATAAGCACCTCACGACCTTTGAGTCTTCCACTCAGTCATTATATACATTATCGTCCAAAATTTTGGGGTCAGAGTAAGATTGGTTTATTTATTTTTGAAAGAAATGACTTTTAATCAGCCAGGACACATTAAACTGATCAGAAGTGACAGTAAAGACAATGATAATGTTACAAAAAGATTTCTATTTCAAATAAAGGCTGTGCTTTTCAACATGAAAATTAAGCTTTGCCATCACAGGAATAAATTACATTTTAAAATATATTAAAACGGAAAACAGTTATTTTACTGTATTGTAGTTTTGATCAAATAAATGCAGCATTGGTGAGCATAAAACTGCACAGCTTATTAATGTTATTGTATGCTAGAAACTATTAAGTTTATGTTTTTACTGACATGAGTTGCCATGCTACAAAGCGCAACACACAAAACAAGGAAAAGGAATGTTGTTTCAGATGCATTTTGAAGATTACGACAATAGCATTTTTTGGTTATTTAAAGTAACATGTGCAAGTAAATCGTTCACTATACTGTATGAAAATAGGGTAAACTTCAAAATAATCAGAGAAAATACTGTTGAAGTTCTGTTAAACACAATGAAACATTGAAAATGGTGTTTGTCCTTACTTTAGAGTCCTCTGAAGATCTTTTGTGAGGATCCCGTTGCTGTAAATGACAAAGTACAGATATTACAGTCTAAAAATATAGACTATGAATCAAACCACCACAGACACACACACTCTCTCTCTCACACACAAACACACTCTAACACCTATTTGGCAAAAAACACTCTGCTCACTCCTGGCCTGATGTAAAGACAAATTGCCTTTCATCAGCCAAAACAATCAGGTAAATTGGAAAGGACCTTGCTCAGTCACCACCTCGCTAAATTGATATTGCTCTAGTGAACGGTTCTCTCTTAATTAAAACAACTTCCCGTACAACTGCCCGTTTGCCAATAAACTGTTTCGATTCCTGCCATGACTCATCTGTAAGCCAGACAAGCACCAAAGGAGATGGTGTCATAGCCCCAGCCGTAAAACATTCGAATTACTGGAATGAGGCAAGAGAGGGCAAGCTAAAACTACAGAGAAGACCCTCACAAGAATAATAATTTCTTTAAATATGTCTTAAGGGTAATATTGTCCCAGTTCATGACTGCTGGTGGAACTTCAAAACACATCCAAGATCAACGAAACGAATAAATACAAGCCAGTTGATTCATAAAAAGCATGTGGATCCCTTGGCACTGGCCCAAAGACAACTCGGGTCTCCTCCAGTGATAGATGGTCGAGTTAAGACTAGCACAATCAAATCCTGTAAAGTTACTTATTGTCTTGGTTGATGGGAACAGTAATTCCATTAGGACAGATTGCCTGACAATGGCTTTCATCTCTGGAGGACTGTTTGCTAGGACAAGCAGCAGGGAACATCCTTGCATTTTTCACCTGTGAAAGGAGGGGACGTATTTTGACTAGTCATTTCCCCTGCATGAACACCCAACTAATGAGGCTAATTGTGGAACGGTTACTAAATACAAATATTTTCTCAACCGTCTGCAACAAAGATGTACATTAGCTCTGAAACTGAAGTCACGTGACTCCAATCATTCAAAAAAAGTGAATCTCGTTCCCGCCCATCTCGTTCCCTGAGATAAGCCCACGCCCATCCCCAGCCGGTTCGTACCCCTCCAGCCTTGAGCAGCTTCCTGCGGAACTCTTCAGTAGGGTTGTTGAATGTGAGCTTTTCACAGCGGAGATGATTGACAGGTGGGTGACCCTCCAAGTGCAGGAACAAATCGTAGTCAAAGCGCACTTTTTTTGGTTCTTCCTGGTGAAAAGTGACAAGAATATTACATTTACCCAATGTACATAGCTGTTTGGATTGGTTTAATTTTAGGTTACAGATTAAATACGCTTATTTATAGAGATCATAATTCACAATTACAGGTTTCCACAAAAGAGAGGTAAAACCAAAGTACCTTATTTTTAAAGTAAACTTCAATAGGCAAGATAAACCCAGCGTATCCAGACTCTTCAACTTTATATGGTGGATCCTTGCAGACTGCAAGAAAGAGAGAGAAAGAAAGAGACTGCTGGTTTAATTTTAGCATGGAAATCAATACTTAAATCAATAAGGCACAAATAGGTGTGCTATATTGTAATTATATATATATATATATACTCTTCCATTTTTAGCAAATTGAGAAAACTTTGTCTAAAAGCAATTTTTGTGATGGTTTGTATTCTCAATTTGCTAAAAATGGAAGAGTATATATATATATATACACACATACATATACATACATACTCTTCAGCTTAACAAAATATAAAATAAAAAAAAGAATGGCAGACATTTAAGCCAAAGTGAGCAAAGATAAAAATCTTTGTCATTATTTTATCTTTGTTATTAGAAAATAAGAACAAATATGTACATTACAAATACACATATAATACAAACAGTGCTTTATTTTTCAGGTACAGTATTTAGCAGTAAATATTAAACAAATATTAAAATAAAACTCTATATGCATCAATTATACTTTTTTTTTTAAAGCAACTGACTGATAAGTTCATCAGTCAAGAGCAGTGAGTGATTTTTCTATGCGTTTTGTTGTTTTATTAACATTAAAAGAATAGTTCACCAAAAATGAAAATTCCGTCATAGTGTTTCATTTTTATACCATCATTTACTCAAGTTGTTTTAAACCTGAATTAGTTTATTTCGTCTGTTGAACATAAAAGTTATTTTTGAAGAATGTGGGTAACCAAGCAGTTGCTGGT